GGGAGAAGCGGCGCCCGCGCCACGGCCACTCGGAGTCTCCCCCTCCTTCCCAGGTTTGAGAGCCTGGGAGGGAGGGAGGGGGAGACCCCGAGCCGCCGCGGCGCGCGAATCAGCTGATTCGCGCGCCCTGGCAGCAGCAGCGGAGGTAAGCTAGGGCGGCCGGGGCACATTTTTAGGGGCGGCATTCTGGCGCCGGCCATGCCGCCCCTAAAAATGTGCTGCCCCAAGCACCAGCTTGTTTTGCTGGTGCCTAGAGCCGGCCCTGGATGGACAAGAACAAAGCCTTCTGACGACACTAGAACAGCAGGCAGGCAGTGGAGGAAAAAAAATGTACAGGCTAAGGTGCATTTAGGGACATCAGCAGCATATGATTTTTTTTTCTCCACTGTTAATTTATTGCTCATGAAAGCTTTCTGCTGTGAGAGTGAGGTAACTGTCCCTCTACAAAAGATGTTTATGCCATGATCAGACAGTATTAAAATGGTTCAGAGGAGATTTTGATTAAAGCCATCTCAAACACAGGTTTTTAAACATTTTACTTTTAGCTCAGTTGTTCTGCTAGCACAGATAGGGCCATGGGAATTGTAGAATGGATGGAAGAGTAGCTCAGTTAATGGAAAGTGAAACAGTAACTTTGGGAGACAGTTTTCAGACCACAGACTGCAGTACAGTAACTCCTCGCTTAACCTTGTAGTTATGTTCCTGAAAAATGTGACTTTAAGTGAAACGATGCTAAGCTAATCCAATTTCCCCATAAGAATTAATGTAAATAGTGGGGGGTTAGGTTCCAGGGAAATTTTTTTAACCAGACAAAAAACTATTATATATATATACACATACACACACTGTATAAGTTTTAAACAAACAATTTAATACTGTACACAGCAATGATGATTATGAAGCTTGGTTGAGGTGGTAAAGTCAGAGGGTGGAAGAGGGTGGGATATTTCCCAGGTAATGCCTTGCTGCTAAATGATGAACTAGCACTCGGCTGAGCCCTCAAGGGTTAACCCATTGTTGTTAATGTAGCATCACACTCTACAAGGCAGCACGAATGGAAGGAGGGGAGACAGCATGGCAGACAGAGACACACACACTGTGTGTATGGGAGAGAGAGATGTGCATTGCCCCTTTAAGTACGCTGACCGCACTCTAAGTACGCTGCCTTTTTAAGTATATCAGGAAGTTGAGACAGCAACTGCGGCCAGCAAACTCCCTCCATCCTGAGTTCTGTCCTGTCCCAACCCTGCTCTATATGGAGAAGGGGTAAGCAGGGGGCTGTGGCAGGAGCAGGGGCACACCCTAACATTAGCCCCCCTTCCTTCCTCCCCACCCCCCCAGCAAGCAGGAGGTTCCCACGAGCAGCTCCAAGGCAGAGGGCAGGAGCAGCATATGGCAGTGGGGGGAGGGACAGCTGAACTGCTGGCAATTGATAGCCTGCTGGGCGGCTGCCACACAGGGAACTTAGGAAGCGGGGAGCTGATGGGGGGCTGCCGGTCCACCCTGGTTCCAAGCCCCCACCAGCTAGATCCAATGGGCTGCTCTTCCTGCAAGCAGTGGACAAAGCAGGTGGCTGCCAAACAACGTTATAAGGGAGCATAGCACAACTTTAAATGTGCATGTTCCCTAATTGATCAGCAACGTAACAACATTAACTGGGATGACTTTAAGTGAGGAGTTACTGTATCTGCTTGTTGAATCTTCAGATTGGATCAGATTTTTATATATACCTACAGGGCCGGCTCTAGGCACCAGCAAAACAAGCTGGTGCTTGGGGTGGTACATTTTTAGGGCGGCATGGCTGGCGCCAGAATGCCGCCCCTAAAAACTGTGCCCCGGCCGCCCTAGCTCACCTCCGCTGCTGCTGCCACGGCACGCGAATCAGCTGTTTCGCGCGGCGCGGCAGCTCGGGGTCTCCCCCTCCCTCCCAGACTTGAGAGCCTGGGAGAGAGGGGGAGAAGCAGTGCCCGCGCTGCGGCCACTCGGAGTCTCCCCCTCCCTCCCAAGCTCTCAAACCTGGGAAGGAGGGGAGACTCCGAGTGGCCACGGCGCGGCGCCACTTCTCTCCCTCCCTCCCTCCTAGGCTTGAGAGCCTGGGGGGGAGGAGGCAGGGCTGGGGATTTGGGGAAGGGGCGGAGTTGAGGCGGGGCCAGGGGTGGGGTAATTAAATAAGGGGGGGGGCGGCCAAAATTGTTTTTGCTTTGGGCGGCAAAAATCCTAGAGCCGGCCCTGTATACCTAAGTCCATTGTAGCACTACCATCAGTGGTCTTTGAATCAGATCCATAGTTCCCTACCTACTTCTGAAGATGTTTATGTAGGCAGCAAACCTGCAGTGAACAGATACACACACACACACAGGAATTATAAGTAGTCTGTGGTGTGTCTGCACTTCCAGGAGCAATTACATGTATTTTCATTAGAGCAACACCAGAACTAATCCAAAAAGAGTAAATAGTGGGTACCATCAAAATATCAACATATACCCTGCTGCAGCAGCTGCTTTTACTATGGCATTTGAAGCATTAACTCTATGCTTAAGACCGAATTCTGCCCTCATAGCTATATGTACTACTCCCTTTGAAGTTAACAGGAGTGGAGCACACAGCTGA